CTGGGGTTCTGACCTTCAGACCGCAGCGAGAGGCCTGCAGGTTGAAGCGGTTCGTTTCTGTGTTCTCAGATCGGTTCACTCTGCTTACCGCCCAGGGAGAGTGAGTCGGTGATGTTTGATAATCTAAAGACCGTGAAACGGCTCATTCGGGCTGATCGAAGGAAGCCGACAGTGTTCTGCAGGATGCTTTAATGACTTGTGGAGCTGATGCTGCAGTTTTGAGTCAGTGTGATACCTCAGAGGACAGATGAAAATGCAAAAATGGTAAACGGTAGTGATGTGTCGGTCGCGAACGAACCGGCTCTAAGAGCCAGCTCTTTGAAGTGAGCGACGGGAGCCGGCTCGTCATTGGGAGCCGTCCCCTCCCCTCCCCCTCCCCCCCTGCCTTGGTGAAAGCTACAGGCGATTGGTCAACATGTGTAACTGTGTGTCCAGACTGTCCACACAGAGCAGTAGGGGCGGGGAAGAGGGAGGTTCAGACTCAGACACACAGCAGAGCACATGCGGGAGGAGGGAGACGAGGAATGAGGAGGAGGAAAAAGGCGAGCGAGAGAGCAAGAGAGAGAGAGAGGAGAGTGCAACGAAGACGGTGAGAAAATGAGCGCTAGCAGTAGGGAAGTGGAGATTTCTTAAAGTGTTCAGTTATTAAATCCATAGAAATGATAAATATTTGATATATTTCTTTTTTTACATTATTAAATTATTTTACATAAAGTTTAGCATTATTTTGGTTATAAATGTACTCTACGCAACAGAAAATCTGAGGAGCCACTTGGGAGCCAAAAGAGCCGGCTCTCTAAAAAGAGCCGGAATTCCCATCACTAGTAAACGGCTGAAGCCTGTTTCAGAACAGATGTGGACTGTGGTTGGTGTACTGAACGTGTCCAGATGTTTGCCCCCACAAGAGCACCAAATGACTAGAAATGTGACATAATATGTTCAAAGATATACCCGTAAGGATAACAGAAACTACCCGTCACTGCACACGGTGATCCATGCATTTGTGATCTCCCGCCTGGATTATGCGAATTCCCTTTTTTATGGATCCACTTCTTCCTCGGTTGCGCGCCTACAGCTGGTGCAGAATGCGGCGGTCCGCCTTTTGACGGACAGCAGAAGGAGGGAGCACGTTACTCCTGTTCTGGCCCAGCTGCACTGGCTCCCGGTGCGCTACCGCATCCAGTTTAAAATTTTACTTCTTGTTTTTAAGTCACTCTATCTTTACGCGCCTCTCCACTTGACTCAGCTGGTTCAGCCCTACGTACCTGGTCGAATTCTTCGATCAGCAGACCCCCGCCTGTTACAGGTCCCCGGTGTTCGGGTGAGGACGTGAGGAGAACGAGCGTTCTCAATCTGTGCGCCTCGTCTCTGAAACCAACTCCCCCTAGCAGTGAGAATGCCCCCCCCCCTCTCTGATTTTAAATCACGCCTGAAGGCTCATTTTTATTCCTTGACTCCTACTTCAGCCTAGCTGGCATTTTACGATGTTTTTGTTTTGTTTTTATTGTTTTTATAGTAGTTACTGTACTACTTTTATCACTTCTTCCTGTGGGTTGATTTTATGCTCTTTTACTGCGCAGCACTTTGGTCGGCCTCGGCCGTGTAGAAATGTGCTTTATGAATAAAATGGAATGGAATTTATAATAGAACTTAATGGGACACAGCTTTTATTTTGAAATATACTGAATGCACCTTGCTGTAACGCGTCTCACTTCCTGTCTGGCTCATGTAATTTCTCCAACTTCATGATAATTCCCCCTGCGGCGTCCGCAGACAGGGTTTGGCCCTCGCTCAGCGGTCACATTCATCCTCTTCTATCTTCCCACTGTTGTTTTGTTTCCTGTCGTGTTGAGATTTATTTGCTGCGTGACTTTCTGTATTTTCAGGACTGTGCTGAAGAACAACGACTTGAGGTCCAGACAAGAGCTAACGGCCCATCTGACCAATCAGTGGCCGTCGCCGGTTGCCTTGGACAGCAACGTGGTTGCCTTGGAAACGCTGCTGTACAGGCGGAGCGCCGGGCAGTGGGAGGAGTATGTTGGTTTTATTTATCTTTGATTGTCATCCGTGAGGTTGCTCCTGTGGCTCTCTCGTTATTTTTAACTTTACTTTGATTTAGAAAGTGGTAATCTAATCTAATCTCATCTCTGATGATACGATCAGAGACGAACTAAATTCATCTGTGCCAGCAGGGAAGTGACTGGGAGTTTCTTTGCAGCCTATGTATTTATTCACTTCCAGGAATTAGACAACTAACCCAGGAAGTAATCCAGACAAAAGGGATTATGGCATTAAAAGAGAACCTTAACGTTTTGAAAACGAGTGAAAATGGTTTGATTATATTTCTGCTCCTGCAGGAAAAGTTTCCAGAGTTTAGAGCAGCTGTCTGCAGACATGAGCCTCTCTCAGACATCGCTGGAGCCGTCCGTCCCCCTCAGCCTGGAGGCCCGGCCCGCCGGCACACAGTGGCTCCACCGAGGCACGGCTCACAGCTAAGAGCAGCTCCTCCACCTGCTACTCAGACATTTATCATGTGCACCTTGTCTTTCAGGTAAGGAGGAAACTCCATCCCTTAGAGGTCTCTGCGGCTCCCTGACCTCAGTAGCCAGCTACAAGTCTTTAGCCAGCCTGAAGTCGAGCGAGTGTTTAGCCAGTCCGGCGACAGAGATCAGCAGCCCGGGCGTCACGCCGTCATAAAACATGAGGATCTGCAGGAGACAAACTATCAGGAACTTTTCTCTTGTCTGGAAAGTCGATTTTCTCCTGTTCTGCTCTGAATGTGGAGCTTAAAGAGATGAAAGCCCGTTTGGAAGCTGAATCATGTGTTTGACCACGTTTGTGCCGCCAGACTTAACATGTAAATGATTTTATTTCTGCTTTTATCTGTGCACCATACTTTGCTTTTTAATGTTGGGGAATCAAATGCAAAAATATTAAGTTTTATTAACTTTTGCATCACATTTTTGTGTTTGTTAAAAGCACTGATGGGAGATCAGTTACTGCAGTCTGGAGGCTTAAGTCAAAAGCTGTGTTTACTGCATCTGCTAACCCGATTCCTATAGGATGGAAATGTTTGTCGTTTTTAATTTTGCACCAGAATTTTGTTCTCAGGAAGCTGCAGTTCTGGGTTCCCTTCAGTTATTCAGAAACAGTATCTCGCGTTGATGACTGGATCCTAATGGGCTAATAAAACTAGAAGATAAATTATAAGCAGCAGGTATTTTGAGACGTGTGTGTGTATTAGAGTATCAGTACAAAGTCATGTACCTCAAAGTTAATGTTTGCCTTCAGCTTGCTCCAGCGGTCATTTGCACAAACACACAGACATCTTTGTGGATTTATTTGTCTTTTACGCTTCATTTTAAATAAACTCCTAAATAAACTCCCAACTAACTTCAGGGTTGACAACTTTTGAAAAAGATTTGCAGCGAGATTTTCTTCACGTATGTACGCATGTACCAAGGGGGCATTGTGAAAACCATTAGGTTTGGTAAAAATGACTTTAATAAGAAAATAAAATAAAGAAAACGATCTTTTATACAGCGCCTTTCAAAATAAAGATCACAAGGCGAGTCAAAGTCTGTCAGAGAAAGACCATTTAGCCATTTTGGGGTTAATTAGGAGGATGCAAAGTACGGAAGATGATTAGGGTCACTGAAAAGAAAAGAAAGATAAATTCTAACTTTTTTCTCAGTAATCAAAAACTCAGATTTCTGAGAAAAAGTCAGAAACTTACAATGTTAATTATGATCAAAACATGAAAGTAAATTTAAAAACTGTAGAAAAAATGAAGAAATGTATTCATACTTCATTAAATTTTACTTTTATTTTCCCTGCAGAACTGTTATGTCGTAGTCATTTTTAAGTGGTGTGTTTTATTTTGAAGGAATCTGCAGGTCAGGCTTATGAACGCTGTAATAACCGTTTGTCTCCGGCAGAGGGCGCAAAGATGGTTTCGAAAGCCAGAAACTAAAGGACTGAGTTTCCATCCAGTTGACCGACAGCCTGGCAAGCCAGACTAAATAAATATATTATTTAAACATTTTATTATTTAGACAAACTTTGCAAAGCAAGAAATTGGTCTAGTTCATTAAGCTAGTCGACCGGAAGACAACCTATAAACCCCCCACAGACGGATTATGTGGCCATCAATCAAATCAAACGACAGATTCAAAGCAATTAAATAAAATATTTACTTAAATAAACAGTAAAAAGGAACTATTTTCTATTTTGTTACTGGTTATTTTGTTCTAGTTGGCTTGATTTGATATATTTCAGTAGTTTACGCATTTATTGTGAAATAAAAATCCATGAATGTTTTTCCTTGTCATGTACTGATATTTGATTTGTGACTATGTCTTAAGGGGAGGACTTTTGAACCGGATGTAAATGAGACCGGAAGTGGGGGAGGAACATAAAGTGGCCTGGAAGAAAGAACACATGAAGGTTGTGTAATAAAGGATCCAAGAAAGACCGTGCTTCATGTCCTGATTTAATTCAGAGTGCTCCATCTAATTAAGTAGTAAGGTGGACACACAACAATGGCGACGAGGATGACACGAACAAGATTTTGTTTTTGGGAGAAGTAGACCCGGCGGCGGCACGAGGTTAGCGAAAACTTGTGGGCTAACATGGAAAAGTCAGGTGTTCAACCGTTCTCCTGCTACACTGATCCAGCAACGCTCGGACCGAGATGGACGCGGTGGTTAACATCCTTCGAGTTGTTTGCTGATGGGAAAGGTCTTATTTTGGATGATGATGCTACGGACGCTGTCAAACAGCGGAGACGCGCTCTTCTACTGCACTTGGCCGGACAGGACGTACAGGACGTCTTCTCCACTCTACCTCGGACGGGAGGAGCGGCGGATTACGCCGCTGCGGTGACTGCACTTAACACTTATTTTGTTCCTCAGGTGAATGCGGCATATGCACGCCAAACTTTTCACAAATTATCCCAAACACCAGGAGAAACTGTGCAACAATTTTGCACACGTTTGAGGCGAGCTGCAAAAGACTGCGACTTTCAAGGTGACAATGATAACCAGATAAGGGACGCTATCCTGAATAAATGCACTTCTGAATATGTACGGAGAAAGCTGCTGGAGGAAGGTCCAGGCCTAACGCTGACTCGCGCGTTGGAGGTGGCTTCTCACTGCGAACGAGTGGAGGAGCAAATGGCGGCGATGAGCGGTACCGGGGAAAGGAAAGGAGAGAACACGGTCAGCCGGATTTTTACAGCAAAGAAAGAGAAGAACCACAGACCAAGAGGACAAATGAAAGATGATGCCAAGACAGACAGGCAGTGTTACAGGTGTGGTTATACTGACCACAGGGGCAAAGATCCCAAATGCCCAGCACGAGGACAAACATGCCACAAGTGTAATGGTAAGGACCACTTTTCGAAGATGTGTCGTACAAAGAGACAAAGGAAACAAAATGTGAATGCTGTTGAACAGGATGATTATGCATTTGTTGTAAATGATGATAATTCACCGGAGAAACTTACCTTTTCTGTTGGGGGAATAGAGTTGGAAATGTTAGTCGACTCGGGAGCTACAAGTAATGTGATGGGAGAAAACATATGGGAAAAGCTAAAAGCTAAAAAGATAAAGTGTCATTCATATGTACCCAAAGAGCAGAGGAATTTATATGCATATTCATCAGCACAGGCACTCTCGGTTAAAGGTGCATTCAGATGTGAAATCAAGATTGGTGACAGAACTGAAGAGGCTGAATTCATTGTGATTAGAGGTAATGGTGAACCACTCTTGGGGAAAAAGACTGCCATAAAGTTAGGAGTGTTGAAAATAGGTGAAAATGTGGCGGCTGTCACAGATTTAAAACATACTCTTAAAGAAAAGTATCCAAAGGTGTTCAAAGGGGTAGGGAAACTAAACACCAAACAGATCAGCCTGTACATTGATCCAAACGTGAAACCAGTAGCACAGCCACTGAGACGCATACCTTATCATTTGAGGGATGCAGTGGAGAAAAAGATCAATGAACTGATTGACATGGACATCATAGAACGTGTGGAAGGACCTACACCTTGGGTAAACCCTGTAGTGGTGCTTCCAAAGAAAGATGACAAAGATATCAGAATGTGCTTAGACATGAGAAAAGCAAATGAGGCAATAATCAGGGAAAGATACCCCATACCCACGGTGGATGAAATCTTGCAAGGACTAAACGGATCTGCAATCTTCAGCAAACTCGATCTCAAGTGGGGATATCATCAACTAGAGCTTACCCCGGAGTCAAGAGAGATAACTACATTTGCAGTGCATAACGGGGTATACCGATACAAAAGGCTGATATTTGGAGTCTCATCAGCTAGTGAGCAATATCAGCATGAGATCGCCAATGCACTAGCTGGTATTGAAGGAGTTGAGAACATTTCAGATGATGTAATCATACATGCACCAGACCAGGAAGCCCATGACAAGCGCCTGCATGCTGTGATGAAGAGACTCTCTGACTGTGGCCTGACACTAAACGCAGAGAAATGTCAGTTCAACATGGACAGACTTGTGTTCATGGGAATACTGCTTACGCAGAAAGGCATCGGCCCAACTGAAGAAAGAGTGAGAGCTGTGGTGGAAGCCCGAGAACCAAAGAATGCTACTGAGGTGAGAAGCTTTCTTGGACTGGTCGGTTTCAGTAGTAGGTTCATACCACAGTTTGCTACACTCTCTGAGCCGCTTAGACGTTTAACTCGAAAGGAAGTGATGTTTACATTCGGGCCAGAACAAAAGCAAGTGTTCGAAAGACTAAAGGCTGAGTTAGCTAGAGCAGGTACTCTAGCATATTTTGACAAAGAAGCCCCAACTCGTGTCATAGCAGATGCAAGCCCTGTAGGCCTAGGCGCAGTGTTAATACAAACACAGAATGGAGAAGAAGTACCAGTGTGCTATGTAAGTCGGAGTCTAACAGACTGTGAGCGAAGATACTCTCAAACAGAGAAAGAAGCTCTAGCACTGGTATGGGCATGTGAGAGACTACATCCGTATGTATATGGCAGGAAGTTTGACCTCATCACAGACCACAAGCCCTTAGAGGTCATATACAGTCCGAGATCTAAACCTTGTGCACGCATAGAAAGATGGGTTCTACGACTGCAGCCATATGATTATAAAGTAGTACACATTGCGGGAAAACAAAACATTGCGGATTCATTGTCAAGACTGCTCTCTGATACCACGTCAAAAGAGGTACACAAGCATGAATCTGAGGAATATGTGAGATTTGTGGCAGTTAATGCTACTCCAAAAGCACTCACAACAAGAGAGGTTGAAGAAGTCTCTGCTACAGACTCAGAATTAACAGAAGTGCGAAGAGCTATTGACAATGGACACTTTGAAAAATGCAAAGCATACGCGCCCATTGCAAATGAACTCTGTGTCATTGGCTACATAGTCTTGCGGGGAACTCGCATTATATTGCCAGAAAACCTCAGAGCTCAAGCGCTGTCACTAGCTCATGAAGGACATTTAGGAATCGTTGGAACCAAGCAGCATCTCAGAACAAAAGTTTGGTGGCCAGGGATGGACAAAGCTGTAGAAAAATTCTGTAAAGCTTGTCACGGATGTCAAATAGTAGCCAGACCGGATCCACCGGAGCCACTGAGAAATACACTTTTACCGGATGGGCCCTGGCGAGATGTGGCGGTAGACTTACTGGGACCGCTACCTTCAAACCACTCGATACTCGTACTGGTGGATTACTACAGTCGATATTATGAGTATGAGGTGATGTCATCTACAACTGCTGAAAAGGTCATTGACTCTATTGACTGTATATTTAGCAGACATGGGCTACCAGTTACCATCAAATCTGATAACGGCCCACAGTTCAAATCTGAGCTGTTCGGGGAATATTGTGAGACTAATGGAATTAAACATATAAGAACTACACCAAAATGGGCTCAAGCAAATGGGGAAGTGGAACGCCAAAATGCATCACTGATGAAAAGAATCAGGATCGCACAAGCGGCAGGTCTTGACTGGAAGCGAGAGTTAAGAAAATATGTAACAGTGTATCGCAGCATTGAACATCCAACCACGGGCAAAAGCCCAGCAGAACTCCTGTTCAACCGCAAAATGAGGGGAAAGTTACCGAACATCAGTGAGGCGAAAACAGCGGAGTTGGACGTGCGTGATAGAGATGCGGAACAGAAAGGAAAATCAAAGATTTATGCCGATGAACGACGAGGGGCAGAGTATTCAAACGTTGACACGGGAGACACCGTGCTGGTTCAACAAGACAAAGTGGACAAGTTTACAACACCATTCAATACAACACCACACAAAGTTGTAAGCAGAACTGGAAACCAAGTCACTATTGAATCACCAACCGGAGCTCGTTATCAACGGAATACGACACACGTGAAGAAATATGAGACAAATGGGACCCGAGAAGGACACCACGAACAAAACACTATACCTAAAAAGGAAGAAGGTGAGACACCCACAACAACTGACACCTTCACTCCAACACAAGAGGGCCCACAGGGACCAGAGAGATCAAGGAGATCGCAGAGGATTAAAAAGATACCTGAGAGGTTTCGTGATTTTGTGGTGAAATAAATCATAATAGGTTAAGTTGAAGAGGTAACTTCAAGAGGGTTAAGGTTCAAGTTGCCAGTTTATATGTGTATGTGGACATGTAAATGAGGGGCGAGACAGTTAGAAAATATAAGTGTTAGAAAGTAAGATAAGAAAGAATGTTCAAAGAAAAAAAAAAAAAAAAAAAAAAAAAAGAAAGGTTATTAAGACCAAAGTTTGAATCTAAGAAAAAGGGGGATGTCATGTACTGATATTTGATTTGTGACTATGTCTTAAGGGGAGGACTTTTGAACCGGATGTAAATGAGACCGGAAGTGGGGGAGGAACATAAAGTGGCCTGGAAGAAAGAACACATGAAGGTTGTGTAATAAAGGATCCAAGAAAGACCGTGCTTCATGTCCTGATTTAATTCAGAGTGCTCCATCTAATTAAGTAGTAAGGTGGACACACAACATTCCTGTTTAAAACAAAAACGTGTACCTTTTTAAAAATAATTTCTGTCTTTGTCTCTGTGTTTATTAGATGTAAGTGGGCATTTAATGTTTATTTAAATACTAACTATTTGATTTGTTTGATTAGAAATTACAAATACATGCTTGTAAATTTTTTTTAACTAAATATATTTATTTTATATGACCTATTAATAACTTTATTAAGTTTATACTACTACTTCCCTGCGTGGATAAGCGGGTACAGAAATGGATGGATGGGTGAAATACTCCTAAATCTACTGGGGATTTAGTTTCGCCCTGTGGCCACCATCACATGTATGATCATCAGATATGTTTGCAGCGCTGCAGCTGTTGTCCGTAAACAGACAACAAAACAACATTTACTTCCGTAGTCAGTAGAAGTGAAGATGTTAGTTTTCCTGTGAACGTTTTGTTTCACCTGGGATGAGAAGTTACCATCTCTAAAGACCAAAAACAGTCAAATCACTTACAGAAGTCTGGTTTTATTCAACAGAAATGTGTTTTTGAGAAAAAGCTTTATTGTGTCTGTCACACAAACAAACTTAAAACAAAACAGGAAAGAAATGCTTCAGGCTCTAGACTGAATAATCAAGCTGTTGCTGCCCCCTGCTGGCTGCTCCATGCATCACAATATGTAATAAAACAGTATTTAGGTGATCAAAAACACACTTTGTCGTCCATTAAGATAGGTTTCACAACAACGATGTTTTTTCACTTGTGTTTTCTGATTGTGTCTCAGTTTGGCAGACCCCCCCAGTCCCCCCCCCAGTCCAGAGAGAAGAAAGTCACGCGCTACTGCAGCGACCTCTGTATTCTCTCCTGATTGCGTTTGCGGAAAAAAGCTTTTCCAGACTCGTACGAGCTGATCATGATGGCACAGGCGGGCGCCACTTTGATCAACCTGGGCAAGAAACCTGCAAAGAAGAAACACTGAGCAGGTATGGAGTTATATTTGGAGATTAAGACCGGTACCGACCTGCAAACAGCCCCTTAAAGCCGTCCTGAGCCACAATCCTGCTCATCACAGCCAAGGTGGAGGAAGACAGTTTACACGGCACTGGAAAGACAAAAAAAAAAAAATACACTTTAGATCAACTTCTACTGGTTTCACTGTCAGGAGACTGGTTCGTTTTCAACACAGACCAGCAGGGAAGCTGCTTTTCTCCTTTGTGCTCAAGAACAGCTGCAAAGATGTGACAAACTTCCTGCTTGCTTTAAGTCTTTATCCAGATTAATCCAGCCACTGACGCTGTAAAGCTGTCAGGGTACCTGAAACTCCTTACCAGCTCATTTGCACAGAACAGGAATCTTTGGATCAACACAGACACCAAACTATCAGCAGTTTGCTTAATCTGACTTTGCTCAAATCTCTAACAGCAACAATGGACAGCCAAACGAAAAGGTTTACGGACCAAAACGTTTCTCGATTAAAGAATTAAAAACTCAACACTCAAACATTTATTTACGTAAATAGTCAAACAATGAGGCCATAATTACAATTTTTTGCTTGCAGCTCTCCCAGCTCTACCTGCCTTCTGGTTTTGACCACGTCAAATGGTAAAGTGACGATGGCTGCAGTCTGAAAGGAACATCAGAGGACAGTCTGATTTCTATAAACGTCCTCAGCTTGTCTAAACGGTAGACACTCACAGAGCCCGCCACCGCTCCAGATGTGAAGGTGATGCTGAACGTGGGCTCCCTGGTTTTGCGGCGTTCACACAGCCAGCTCTTCCCCCTCTCGTAGTTGTACCAGTAAATAGCAGAGAAGGGCACGTCCCGGAGCAGCGTGGGACCCAAACCCCTCCAGAGGGACCGCCAGCCTTCTGCCTCCACCGCTGAACGGATGCAGGCAGTCAGCTGCCTGTACGACTGTTTCTGGGACTGAAGCTTGGTGCGGATCAGCTCCAGAGGGCTGATCACCGTCGCTGAGCCGACTGAAACAAAGATCAGCTACATTAAAGGGGCATTATGGAAGTTTGACGGCCAAAACATGTATAGAAATAATAAATGTCTTCTTCAATGCCCTGGTCCTGTAGAATGAGCCCTGGCATTTTTACTGTGATTGCCTGTTTTTCTGTAAAATCACAGAAAAAGAGAGATGCTCGGGTCGAGCAGGCTGCTTCATGCGCGTTCACGCTCAGGCATCGCCCGTAGCATTTGCTATCCGTAGCTTTAGCAGCAGAGAGAGAGGCAGTGCCACTTTGTCGCTGTTCCTAACGCCTAGTGACAAAGCTAGCTACATTTCTGAGGACCCTTAGCTATTTTCTGTAGAACTTTCTTCTAGATATTTCCTGCTAATTAGCAACAAAACAGCCATTTTCACTCCGAACCGTTCTTTGAACGTTGTTTCAGCTGTCATCAAGGATATAAATGTTACAGATACAAAAGATGTCGCTGGTGCTTTAGCTCACCTCGTAAAACATTGGACTCCCGTGCAGAAGACCTGGGTTTGACTCTGGATGTGAACATAATTTGTTTTCTTTTTTACATTAATGGTATATTTTTTACACTAAGACGCCTAAATTTTTATTTGAGACTCGCCGAACGGCGGAATTCACAGATAAAAAAGATGTGGGTTCAACTTTCATTTTGGAACAATTTTTCAAGCAAGGGAAGGGAATGATCTGAGCATGCAGGAGGACTGACCCATCATAAACCTTTGTCGGCTGTGCTGAAGAGAAAGCTACAGAACCACATTATTTCATTAATTAGCTGCACGTTCTCCTGTCCTCCGTCCTCCGGGCCCCACACACACACACACACACACACACACACACACACACACACACACACACACACACACACACACATACACACACACACACACACACACACACACACACACACACACACACACACACACACACACACACACACACACTGAACTGTCTCAGCTGTTATTTTCGTTAAGGAGTGTGCACGTACAGCACGTACGCCTCGTGCACTAGCCTACTATTGAAGCTGCCGTTACGCTTTTGGCCTGAGGGGGCAATCGCGAGCATAAAAATTCAAAACTCCGTAAAGTCCCTTTAAAGACATGAAACATGCAGGACGGAAGAATGCACAGAGACACCAGAAAACTGTAAAGGAGAAAACACGTTAAGACACATTTCATAAAACCTGACTCGTGACTATCACCTGCAGGCAGTCATTAAAATACGACGAGCAAAAATGATCC